CAGTGGATTGACAAGGGTTTGGTGAGTTATTCTTCAAGAAAAAAAATATATAAATGGTATACAACACGTGACTGGTAGGGGTTACAATAAAGTTCTGCCTACATCTTGGACTCTGCCCTGCCCGTTGAGAACATGCACAAATCCTGGCCATCCAGGGTTTACAGGAGCTTTGACGTGCTCTTGAATGGAGGAATTCAAAACAAACTGCATTTGTTCATTGTGCTTTAGAAGTGCACGGGGAAAAACGGGACCAGCAACTGGTCTCTCCTGAAGCAGAACAAGGAATTTCCTGTCAATGCAGCATTATTGTATATATACTGTATTCAGCAAGCAACGATAAACCTGGCGTGTTCCATAATTTGTAAGGCACGCCATATTTCTATGGGCATGAGAAAAAGTCGATTATTCTATATTGCAGAATGTTTCATGGCAGCCTTGGAGATAAACAATATATTCTACACAATTTACCAAAGGTCAAAACTAAAAATAAAAAAAAAACCCGGACCTTATTGGCAGAAATGTAAAAGTTTGCCGGGAACAACAATGAGCTTCTTGGAGAGTTGTTTAACCTATTGACATTTGCATACTTGCGTTGGGCTCTCGCAAGCCTTTGTGAAATTCCTTGCTGAAATGCCTATAACGAGTTCACTTGACATGAAACAAATCCCTGACAGAAAATTTGCAGCCAAATTCGTCTCCTTGTAAGTGCCTTTTTTACGGATAAAGTCATAATTATATTTCTTCTGGTAGCATGTGGATTTGGTTAAACATCATTGGCAGTATTTTCAATAAGCATGAAATAAGATCATTAATGTAAAGCATTTTCACAAGCCAGGCCGACACAATGCGCCCCAAACAAAATTAGATGGCTTGGCGGCACGTCGCACTGCAGTGATCAGAAACGTCTTAGAAAAATACACTTTTTTAAATGCCATTAAACTATTTGACGCACGATAAACCACTGCGTTGCCAGTATTGGTGTATTAAGTAGATGCTAAATACTGACGCACATAAAAAAACATCTACTTTTGTTGTTTTGTTTCACGCTGCATTTCAGCGTATACACGCAAGGTATTGCTCTGGAGCAGTTTGTCCCAGACTTGTTTGTGGAAGCCCAATACAGTTTCTCAAATAATGTAACATATTCATTGAGTACACTCGGTCTTTATTATTCGTATTATTATTTTTATACTTGGAAAAGCCTCACCGAGTCTGAACTCTTTTAAGTTTTCACAGTAGATGGGCGATATTGCAGCTGTGTCTAATCCCATTGGAGACATTTGCAGGTACCTTTTCAGCATTGGGATGTTTGTCCAATAGCAGTTCCATTGCACGATTATTATTATATAAAATATTTAATGCAAATTGTTAAACAAATTATTTTACACTGACAGTCGCGCGTAAAACGGCCACATCGTTCCGCACGATTTGCTACAACACGGGACAATGCTCACTTAGGAGCACACAAAAAAATACTCGAGTTGCCCACTCCCATCCTTGAGCTCCACGCCACCCCCCACCCATGTTTACACTGCGCGGCCTGCACCACGACTTGGAATCTCACAAGATGTTTCTCCTGTGCAGGGGGGGGGGGCTTCCTCCTCTGCTCTGCTGCTCCCATGCCCCGCTTTCGAAAATCACATTTTCAGTCAATACGCACCAAGCCAGGTGAGCCACAGGGCCGAATTGAGACAAGTTTTCCCATGATCTAGAAATACAATACTTCTATGTTTTTCAGGTTTAACAAATATGGTGTAGCTGTAAAGAAATGCGAGGCCCCCACTTAATTACCGCGCACATGTTCGAGTATAGATGGGAAACGGAACGCTCATTATTATTTTTTAAAAGTCACTTTCACTTGAGCCTTTCTGGAAACAAAACACATTTCCTTTTTCGATTTTCTCCTCTAATAAATTAACATTGCTGCAAACTCTATTTGATCTGTGAATGTTTGTTTAAATATTTAAACAGATTTCAAATGGGTAGGAAGATAAATAAAGTGTCCTTGAAGCAGTAAGTACCTGCTTTCAATTAACTTATGCTGTGTACACATTTATATTGATAGCATAGCTTTCGAAGTCCTGCAATGATAACCTGTGTGGCCATTTGTACATGGTTCTTCTTCCTAATCTTATATAATGTAGTCATGTAACAATTTAAACTGGCAAAGCAATTCTGCAGCAGTAATCTGGTATAGAGTGTAGCGGTGACACAGTGGTTAGCGCACTGCATTAAGAATCCACCGATATCATTTAATGCCCAGCCACAGCAAAACACCCACGGTGCCTTAACTTCACCAACTCGTACGAACCAGCATGGTGAAGTATCATGAACCAACCCCCATAGCCTATAGTGTGAGGAAGTTATCATCCAGCGGTGGATTGACAAAGATCAGGGAGATAAGGGGGTATAGTGATATTGGCCTAAAGTAAAGTGTAATGACTTTGTCATTGCGTCAGTTACAAACACCACCAAAAACGCAATTTCATAACCACAAGATGAGAGCATCATCTCAAACGAGACGGGAACCAGTCTGGTCAATACCGCGAGCAAGCCTGGGAAATGCCCTTTGCGGTGTGTTGCGTGCGCGTGCACGGATACCTGCACTTTGACAGAAGAAGCAGGCTCTCCGGACACACACCGGTTGCGACGATCGACATGCACCACGGCAAAGAGAGAATTGTGGGAAGGAGGACGCGACCGTGTTTAGACTTCACCGACAGGTGCGGCGTCTCTGTTTAACGTCGAAGAATTTCCTCTCGCCCCGTCGTCAATTTCTGGGTGGACACGTGTTTTTGCATTGTGGGGCTACAAAGAAAAACCCGCCACCCCAACTTGTGGCCACTCTGTCACAGTCGGGTTTCGGGAGTTGCGCGGGGAGATTCCACGGAGACAGAAAAAATCACGTGAGATGTTATTTGCGGAGAAGTGTTCACTGACGATGGGAGACCGAGGTGTCTCCCAGTGCAAAAAATGTTGCCGTACAAATTTAGTCCCACAGTCCCGTGTGAGCTGCTGGATTTACGATGTCGCTGAGGACGTTTTTTTTCGTGGGTTTCAAGCACTGCCGCATAAACAAAAAAATTGCCGCCACATCGATCATATTTGACATTGGAATTTTCTCTTTCTTCTGTTACACCATGACCTGCGATGACTAAATGGTTTGCTCATATTGCTCATCTCCCGCGTGTTTATGAAAGTGTGGCGAAAGTAAGGATGTACTCATGACTCTGGCTTACAAAAAAATTGTCAATTTCATTACAGTGCTTGTTATGTCAAAGCCTCATATACGGACAGGAAAACATTTCCGTGTATTTTTATGCTCGTCCCCGTGTCTAGCATTAAAAGCCATTTTTATGATGTTGAGAACTTGCTACTGTGATGGAGAGACTTTGCCCGAAAAGTTCCCACCGCTCACTCGACATCAAGGTTCCAAAATAAAGGTAGGAAATACTCTGGAGCCAAAGAGACACACTGGCACGGAGCCTAATGTATTGAAATAGCCCCCAAAAGGCCCCATGTCAAGTCCGTTTCTGATTTAATGTTTGTATCCATGTGCGAACGTGTGTTTATATACAAATGTTGACTGCCGGAAAGTAACAAAAACGTGATTTTTTTTGGCAGGCACGACGAGACTTAATTTACTTCTCACCGGTGTTAAAATTATTGCCACGGTAAGACAAGGGATTGCAGAGGAAATTATACGTGTGTATAAACAAAACTTACATCGATGCCCTGTTTAGCCCTTTGGATTGCTGGGGAAAGTGATGTTTGCAGGCATGTATTACGCCTGGCTGGAAAAAGCATGATTGGATGAGGTGGGCAGCAGAATCCCGACTACTTTCGTTTCCCAAACTGCTTCTTCTTCTTTCGTACGGCTGATGTAGATGCAGAGCAACAGCTATAATTTCATATTCAGGTGTGCGAGCCAGATAATCGCGGCAGGAGCAGCGAAGTGTATCACTGCGATGTCCCCTTTGTAACGCAAGCGCTGATGTTGACGCACTGCACCAGGCATATATCTCCCAATCTCCAGGCCCAGTTTGCCTAGAGGAGACCTTGACTGGGGTTCATATTCAGATTTCCACTGGTATTGTCTATGTGTAGGAAATTATTGTACCTCAATAATGTGGATAACCACTACACCACTGCTCATCACACAAGCATGCAATCGCACTCAAATAGATACTGTACAAGATTCCATATAATCAATAAATGCATTATGTTAGTGCAGCTTCTTTTTGCGGCTGTGAACTGAACACCAATAGTAAAAACAACAAAAAATTAAAAGTGACAGAGATTGGGCTATGGGTAATGGGAGGGTTACACTGCTAGTGGCTGATCGCCTAGATGGTTAAGGTTAGGGCTAACATTTAGTTGGCAAATGTACTCAGTCCACAAACTGGTTGCTCGAGGCTGATGACTAAATTAATCATAATTTATAGGCATTTGACAATCTACTGGTGGAAGAAGGCCCTCTCCAGACCATGTCGGTTCTTTTGGTCTTCAGCTTTTGTTACATTGTTTTACATTTGTTATTTCAATATATATTGTACAACAATTATTAGTTGGTGAAAGAGAGACCAAGAACCATATCAGATATCACTTGGCATTGATGTTATCATCATGCATTATGTTCGTTTACCCAGTAAATCCTCACCGAGTCACCAGAGTCGTTCCCAAGGGGGTTCTTTTAGCCATGGCCAGATATTAAACTCTGTTGGCCTGTTTATAGTGCAGTGCATTAATCATTGTACCACCACTCCATCCTCATGTAACACCTCCGGCCGGCATGGTTGGCTATGTACGGTGCGAAAGAAGTTCAACGTACATACATAGTTAAAAAAATCTTCCCCCACTTTTGCGTTTCCGTTGTTCACATTCTCTGAATCACGAGCACCGCCCCGTGCAGCAGAGTAACAAAGTAAGCCGTCTCTGCCCCCTTTGCACCCCCCCCCCACCCCGTCACGGACGTTCCCCACAACCTCAGCGGGCCTCACCGATGACGGCGAGCGAGTAGTTGATGGTGACGCTGCCGAAACCATTGGTGGCCTGGCAGGTGAAGACGCCGGCGTCGTCAGGCTCCAGCTCCGTGACTCGCAGGCCGTCGCGCAGCACGCGGTAGCGCATCCAGCCGCTGTGGATGTTGCGCCCGTCCTTGCTCCACATGATGAGGGGCGGTGGGTCGCCCTCCACGGGGCACGACAGCTTGAGCGTGCGCCCCACCCGTGCCAGCACGCGTTCGCTCACCCGCTCGGACACCCGCGGGGGGCCTGAACGAAAGACAACGCCAAGCCTCGTCAAGGGGCGTGAACCATCGCGCAGACTCGGGTCGTCCTCGCAGCGGCGGCTTTTGGCTGGCCGTCGAACAAAGACGGTCGCCGCATCGCGCGCTTTCAGATGCGCTTCTGCGGCCGTCTGGAACGCTCTTCCTTCTGATGTTAGGAAGCCACTGCAGCTATGCACTTTCAAATCTAGTTTGAAAACTCATTTCTTCAGAACTGCTTCATGTGTTTCGTTTATTGTCCTTCCCCCGCACACTTCTGATTAGCACGGTTGGCTACATACGGTGCGAAAGAAGCTCAACATACATACATACAAACAAGCCAACTCCTGTGATTTGTGTGTAGTTTAAGATATCGGTAAAATTCAAAGATACAGATGAAGCCAAAGATTGCCTTCAGAGCTTGTTGGGACATTTGCTATTTAGAGAATATCTATTCAGTGTCGTAGAGAGGGGAGGCAGGTTTGTCGTTTTGCCGTGGGACTCAGGTTGTCGACAACTTGACTCAGGTTGTCGACGACTCAGGTTGTCGACAACTCGATGACTCAGGTTGTCGACAACTTGACTCAGGTTGTCGACGACTCAGGTTGTCAACAACTTGACGACTCAGGTTGTCGACGACTCAGGTTGTCAACAACTTGACGACTCAGGTTGTCAACAATTTGATGACTCAGGTTATCGACGACTCAGGTTGTTGACAACTCGACGACTCAGGTTGTCGACGACTCAGGTTGTTGACAACTCGACGACTCAGGTTGTCGACGACTCAGGTTGTTGACAACTCGATGACTCAGGTTGTCAACAACTTGACGACTCAGGTTGTCGACGACTCAGGTTGTTGACAACTCGATGACTCAGGTTGTCAACAACTTGATGACTCAGGTTGTCGATGACTCATGTTGTCAACAACTTGACGACTCAGGTTGTCGACGACTCAGGTTGTTGACAACTCGATGACTCAGGTTGTCGACAACTTGACTCAGGTTGTCGACGACTCAGGTTGTCGATAACTTGACGACTCAGGTTGTCGACGACTCAGGTGGTTGACAACTCGATGACTCAGGTTGTCAACAACTTGACGACTCAGGTTGTCGACGACTCAGGTTGTTGACAACTCGATGACTCAGGTTGTCAACAACTTGATGACTCAGGTTGTCGATGACTCAGGTGGTTGACAACTCGACGACTCAGGTTGTTGACGACTCAGGTGGTTGACAACTCGATGACTCAGGTTGTCAACAACTTGACGACTCAGGTTATCGACGACTCAGGTTGTTGACAACTCGACGACTCAGGTTGTTGACGACTCAGGTTGTTGACAACTCGATGACTCAGGTTGTCAACAACTTGATGACTCAGGTTGTCGATGACTCATGGTGTCAACAACTTGACGACTCAGGTTGTCGACGACTCAGGTGGTTGACAACTCGACGACTAAGGTTGTCAACAACTTGATGACTCAGGTTGTCGATGACTCAGGTGGTTGACAACTCGACGACTCAGGTTGTTGACAACTCGACGACTCAGGTTGTCGACGACTCAGGTTGTTGACAACTCGACGACTCAGGTTGTTGACAACTTGACGACTCAGGTTGTCGACGACTCAGGTTGTCGACAACTCAATGACTCGGGTTGTCGACGACTCAGGTGGTTGACAACTCGACGACTCAGGTTGTCAACAACTTGACGACTCAGGGTATCGACGACTCAGGTTGTCGACGACCAAAGGGAAGACTTAAGACCTGCTGTACAGCAGCTACGGAATATGGCACAAGGTAGAAAGCATTGGTAACATGTTGGCATCAGCAGGTCAGGGATGCTGCCGTGGACTAGCTAGAGGTAGCTGCCGGTTTGATCTCCCAGCAATGGGCAACTATTTTTTTTAAATCACCCCCCCCCCCATGCCTCTGTTCACCCAGCAGTAGAAATGGGTTCACAACAGTTCGTGGATCAGCAGATCAGAGGCCAAAAAACCCTGTAGCGGGACTCTCTAGAGCTCGCTCTCGTGGAGGTCCTTCCACCGGCAGTGACGTGAATAAAACAATGCAGGGCTGCCCCTTTATCCTCTGTTTTATGGCAGTTCAATTGCAGGTTACGGCTATAATACACAGAAAGTTGATATGAAACAGTTTTTTTTAAATACCATGCCACACATTGTTTTAGAAGTACATTTAAGTGTATGTACAGCATTAAAGTGATATTTTTTTATATAAAATAATGCATAATAAACACACACGCTGAGGTTGAAGAATGTTAACTGCCCAAAGTTCATCCCGGAAATCACCGCCCATACGTTTATATTATTGCATGAAATATTAGCACATAGCAAGACAAATTAAATGTTAACACATGAATAAAAAATATGAAACAAACTGCTTTTATTATTTTACATTTTTTTAGGAGGAAAGGTAGCTCCCAAGCATCTGGAAATGTTAGGAGTACAATTGTGCAACATACATGTGTAACTGTATTTATATATACTGCAATACAAGACGCTTTTCATTTCCAAGTTACACAAATTGAAATATTTGCTGAGATTTATGGCGAGTGAAAGGTACATTAAAATTGGGCGGTGGAGGGTGAACTTGGTTGTGTTACAAGCTTACGATATTGCACTAAAAGCCACCTTTGTATTACCATATCCCTTTTATCGATAATACATTTTACGTCTGGCTTTCACCCAAGGAAGTGAATCATTAATAAGTTTTAATAACTAACGTTACACACGGGATCAAAGTGAGCAGACTGGACTTTGCAAACCCTGATGGTGGCTATGCTACATTCAAAGCCTTAGATAAAGTGTTTTTTGTGTGTGGCTGATTTTTACAATTACTGATCAACAGAATGCTTCTATTAGTTGAATGAATCAACTCTCCAAACACATTTGCGGTTTTAGCTGAGAAAAATGTTTTCATAACCCAGCCAACAATTCAAATTGTGATATTCCAAAAAACAAAAAAAATCGATTTGGAAGCGCATGGACTGAAATTATAAATCCTGCTGTGATAACAGTTAAAGTGGTTGGTGCCACTTAAAGATAAAACTCACTTTATATAAATAACAGATCCAAAAAAGCTATTTTTTAATAAGTGATAATTACTATTGTATCATAATATATTGATGATCAGAGCCACATGACTTTAGGTTTCTAATTAAATACCAATTTAAAAAAATGTTTTGGAACATGAAAATACTTTGGTCTCCACCAAGTTGTTATTCTTAACCAGTTTCAGATGTCTTTGCTTTCTTAAAAAACATGATTACATTTTTACACTCTTTGAAGATCCTACCATTCCGCATACCTCTCAGCTCTCTCTCTGATTCAGCTCTCCCATTCACCATTTATCTAACGAGAGTTAAAATTTGATTATTCCAGGACCTACCATGGAGGAGGGCAAGATGAGAGTGGAATGACCTTGAAGGTGCAATATATATTCCATGAATGTAAAACATAAAAGGAAAACACAATTGCACCTTGAAGACAATTGCTTACCATCTTGCAAGGCATATAAAGTAACAACACATTGCAATGTTTATTTAGTATAAATAAATATTAAGGGATGTCAAGGATAGCAACCATGATCTCCCTTGAAAATGTATTTGTTCTGAGCTGGCTGAAGTAAAAGAATGTGTGGACAGAAGTGTTAATATGTATGGTAAAATGGGCAGTGAATAGGTTTTGAGAATGATATATAATGTGCATAGCACAAATTGGCTATTCTTTATGCAGTAAACATAATCATTAGGTTGTGTTATAGTTCACATGATGAATATTGTATGTTCCAGACAAAGTTATAAATAGTACCAAATAATATAAATAATGTATCATATTTAAGTCATGTTAGTGCCATTTTAAGGTGTAATTTTCTCCCAAATTGTTGATCACTGCTCATATAAAGATGTTATTTTCAATGCTTGTTCAATATCTGTCATGATAAAAAAAAACTATTTTATTCAACAAAAAGACTACTGTGAATAAAATGTAAGCAGCTCAATGGATTAAAAAATAACAACAAAAACATGAACCCCCCCCCCCCCCAAGTGTCTCTTGAGCCTTATGTCCATAATGATTGAGGGCTGCTGTCAAGGAAACAGTGTTTTTTCAGTCTCCTGGTTACACACAAACTTTGCCAACAGTTTAGCGTATGACCGTTAAGACCCCGAGTGAAAAATATGAAGGGCCCGTGATTTTGGCCACATGTGCGGAACCTAAAATTCGGAGAGCGAACATCATTCCAACTTTGCTGATCTGCTCCAGACAACTTTTCTCGAATCTATTTAACGATCCCCGATGTATATTATGCAGCGGTGAACGATTGCGAGCCTTGAGAGGCACACACAGAGCCACATGCTGCCAGTGCAATGCCAAAATAATCCTGCATTAAATTACTGTAATTTCATAAAGTGCTGGTCTTAACTCGACTTAAAAAACCTTTAGACAGATTCCTGTGCAATAGCTGTAATTCAGCTTCATCTTGGCACGCTGACAGTTATAGTGCAATGGCAAAGCCACTTGAACTAATTTTTAAATCACGGCTAAGTGTTGCCCAACTCCAATTATTTTTCGAAAGCTTAAGAATGCTTCTTGCTTTAATTCATTCGTGTTAAGGATAATTCGGTATGTGCCGTGAATACCATTTTTGGATGCGTTTGTGTTGATGCGCAGAAATATTCGAGATGTCGAAGGGACACACGGTTATTCTTAATATTGGTAAATCAATACTATAATGAAAGAGAACAAGACTCAAGACACTGAAGGGTATTGAATTACGTAGTTTGTGTAATCGCTCGAGTGACTGACATATATATAAATACACCAAGAACAGTAGTGGTGATTTCGTGTTTCAAATCACCCTGTTTATTTAACATAGGGTTACTCAAGGTGGGCGCCTTACGTACATACAGACTTCCAAAACGAACACAAGTTGAAGGCGTACATGCATATATATACATATTATGTATATATTCATTTTATTATTACTACAGCTT